CGGGTCCGCGGGGGGCGCTGTAGCACCCGGCCTAGGGGAGCCCCCCTTGACTGACACGCTCTCCGCGTCGCTGTAGTTTGAAGCCACAATTGAACCCGCAGCGCCAGGAGGCAAATTTCATGACGTCTGTGGAGCTGGAGAGCGCGCTAAAGGGTGAAGTGTGGGGACGATGTTTTATTCATGCCCCGTGCAGAATGACTCAGCGCTCAGCACATCCCCGTCTGCCTGGGGCAGGAGGGAACAAGCCAGCGTCCCGCGCTCTCCGCGTCGCTGTAGTTTGAAGCCACAATTGAACCCGCAGCGCCAGGAGGCAAATTTCATGACGTCTGTGGAGCTGGAGAGCGCGCTAAAGGGTGAAGTGTGGGGACGATGTTTTATTCATGCCCCGTGCAGAATGACTCAGCGCTCAGCACATCCCCGTCTGCCTGGGGCAGGAGGGAACAAGCCAGCGTCCCGGCAAAGGGGCAGGGGCTAACGTTGGGGGCTTGGTGTCCAGTGCTTTTTCTGCAACTGCTTGGTTTTTTTGCCTCCCCCTCAAGGTCCCTGAGATGCTGCGAATTCAGTAGGTGGCCCGGGCTGGGACCCACGGCTCTGTATGGCGCTAGCTGGTGCTGCGAACAGGCCCGCTGATGGGGGGGAAGGGCACAACTGCCCCAGGACTGAGGAGCCTCCCTCCCCACGTTGCCCGGGGCCCGTGGAGGCTGCCGGCTCTGCTGGCTGCGAATGCCAAGTTCCCAATGAAATCGTTTTGTAAACGGAAGCCCAGTGCAGGAAGGCAGCTGAAGCCCCGCCCCTTGCACCCAAAGCCACACCCCTTCCCCGAGACCATGCCCCTTTCCCCTCCCAGCTGAGCCCCACCCAACTCCGGGGCTGTCACGTAGCGCAACCCAGGCTGGGGAGCCCCTTCCCTTGCCTGCATCACCCGCCACCCCTGCCTGTCCTCTCTCGCGCACTTCCTAGGGCACCTCCCATAGATCCCAGAGCCCCGCACGCCGGAGGACTGCCCGGGATTCCTTTCCCTTTGAACCGGAGCCGATCTTTCAGCAAAACAAACCAGCCTCCGATCTCGCCTCTAAAACTGGCCCGCGATGGCGACTCCGCCTCAGCTGGGGTGAGCTGCCCTCCCGGTTAATTACCTTCCTCATAACACGCTTGCCCCTCGTTTCTCGCCCAGCTTCGATTCCCAGCCCTCGGATCTTGCGATACCTTGGTCGCCTAGACTCAAGCGCTCCCAATTATCTGACGTCTGGCCCTCCCTGGTACCTGCCGACTCCACAGCCTTCTCTCGGCTGAGCCAAACACACGGAGCCCCTGAGCTAGCCCGGCAAACGGCCCCCGGTAACCAGCTCCAGCGCCACCGCCCACACCCAGCTGTGGACACAGCCCATGGGAAGTCCCACCTCCAGCCTCGGACTGGCTCCCTGCCATATATAACACCCCCGCCCCCACCCCATGGTATTCCTGGAAGTCTTCAGGCAACAGTGTGGCTCTCCGGTAGCTGTCACGGCCATTCCGACTCCTGGCTCTGACGCTGGCTTGATTTAGGCCTGGCCTCCTGACCCAGACCTTGAAACTTGACTCGGATCCGTGGTACCAATCCCCCGCCTGTCCCTGATCTCCCTGAGGAGCCCTCCCTTGGCTGTTCCTGCCGCGTGCCTGCCGGCCCGGGGACCGTTCTCAGTCACCCACCCACAGGGAAGGATCCCCATCGTGTGAATGCTACCCAGGCGGGTGCTGATGTGGGCCGGGCCAGGCGCTGGCCTGTGGCCATGCGGCTCTCCGACCCGTGGCCCTTTCCCCCTGCTCCGCCCTGGCTTAGCAGCAGCGACGGCCTGTGCGGGTAGGTACGGCCCTTTCACATTGAGCCATTTCCCAGCATGCTTAGGGCACCACAGCTGGCGGTGGACTCCTGGGCAGTCTACTGAATTGCCAGCACTTGCACCGCAAGCTCTCAGCTCACCCTGCTGCTCCCTCTGTTTTCAGTGACCCCCCCCATATCACCCCCTCGTTGGCTCCAGGCAACAGCGCTCTCTGCCTTCAGGGCACCCCCAGGCCTCACTCTGCCCCCACACTCTGGGCACTCTCCATAACCCACACTGCACCCCCAGCCCCCACCCTGCCCTGGGGTACAGTTTTGACCCTCGGCACTCTCGGAGACGCTGCCTCTTGCCCCATCGGCCCCGGCACCGCTCCCCCCGCTGCGGTTCCCATCGGCTCCCTTGTACGGGGTGCCAGCCGCATGGGGCTGGCACAGGGGCCTTGTGTCATGAGGTGCCCTAGGAGCAGGCCGGAGCAGCCCCAGGAAGAGCCGTGGTACAGGGGCACCCAGCATGGAAGTGCCCAGGTTGTGATAGAGATCTTACGGAAGCCCTAGGGAACGAGGGGGTGTCCGTCCCACGGACCTCAAGGGCCAGAGTTCTCCCGCCCGGCTTTCCTTTCGTGCTGGCCGTTGGTTGTGGGCATGCTGGCTGGGATGACTGAGTCGGGGCTGGTCCTGCTTTGGGCAGGGGGTTGGACCCGATGCCTCCGGAGGTCTCCTCCAGCCCAAGGAGGCTATGACCAGGTACCCTTTACAGCCCTGGCTGCCTGTACTCCGAGAGGCAAATGGGGCCACCAAACGTGGCCTCGTCGGTTGCTCCGACAAAACTGTGGGTCTGAACAGAAAGGCCTGGGGGAAAGCCAGGCAGCGGAGCCGCAGGAACCGCCACGGAGCCACGCCGGCCCCCAGGGACGCACACGCACGCTCCGACCCAGCGGATCTCACGGGGCGCACACGCACGCTCTCGTCGCACGCATCACATGCACCCGGCTTGGGGGGGCCCGGGAGGCATCTGCAGTGGTTCTGAAAAGGGCCCTACAGAACAGCAGCCGGCAGCAGGACTCCTGAGCAAGTCTGCACTGTGCCGGGGCCTTTCTGCCAGGCCTGCCCAGCTGCAGGGACAGCAATTCCCAGGTTCCTGGAAATCTGCTTCCCCCCGGCACCGCTGCCGAACCCGGTACCTGCCTGCCTCCTCCTGCTCTGCTGCTCCAGACATGGGGAACGTCCTTGCACCAGCCGGGATCCAGGTGATGGGAGAAGTGTCTGCAGAGGCATCTCTGGACTGACTGCAGTTAGGAGGAGGAGACGGGGCTGCAGCTGGCGGCCTTCCAGCAAATCAGACTGCAGAAGCTGTGCCTGGACCTGCCGGGGAGCCGGAGGCAGAAGGACAAATCCAGAGCTGGCTGGCAGCGGGGGAGTCACGCCCCCCTTGTCCGTGGCGGAGGAGGCCTTTCCATTCCACAGCCTGGGAGGGCACGTTCCCCAGAGAGCCCCCGCTCCACGGTGCAAACGACGCTCCAGCGTCTGACCCACGCTTCCCAAGCGGCTGCTTTGTCACGGACAGGCCCTGGGGGCAAAAGGACTTGCTGGAAAGAACAGAATCGTTTATTCCCAACTCGGCCCGGCGCGCCCGGCGCACAGGACCAATCTCACTACACCTAGCGTGACCTGCAGTGTACAGTCTGAAATCACCCGCCCCAGGCATTCCC